ATTGTCCTCAGACTAAACTATTTCAACATCTTATCAATTTAATTAATTTTGTCAGATTTTCATTTTTAGATTGTTGAAAAATTTTTACAATACTCTTATCTTAGTATATGGTACAAAGAAGGCTCTATTTTTCTGTGGTATTTAGTCATTCATCAACTAATATCATAATAATAAAATTTTGATAAGAGCTGTTTTCACATGATATGTGACAGTTATACCCAGGTCCACTGTTCCGATCGCTGGAACCGTTTGTTTCCTTTGTTTTCCGGCAGCGGATCCTATAGATTCCGTTGGTTTTCGGTCGGCTCCGTTGACTTCCGACGATTTCTTGACTACAGGATTCCGGTCCAGTTTCCGCCGGAAAAATTCCGTTAAGTTTCGCAAAATTTCGACCAGGAATTCGTCGGAAATCGACGGGACCGATGGAAACTGATCGGAACTGGTCCGACGAAATCTGGACCGGAATCCTGTAGTAAAGAAATCGTCAGAATTCAACGGAACCGATCGGTTCCGACGTACCAAGCTTGACCTGGGTACTGCTGTCGATTTAAAAAAAAGGTGAGTGGATAGTTTTCGAATAACTTTTGATAGAAACAAGATGGATAGCTGAAGTTTTCATAAGTCGAAAGAGAAAATAAAGATACATCGAATCGTATATTATAAGGATTTTTGACATGATTTTCTAAAAAAATTTTCACTCTACCTCTTTGAAAACAAGTCTAAACCATGAAATGTTTACAGCGCATTTCCCAGTTTTCACGTGTGTATTCAAACTGTCGATGAAAGATCTACAATAATGCACAAGGTTCACATGTTTAGAACAAATAATTCAAGAGCTATAGGTATTCTAGTCGAAAGTCGATTTTTTTTTTATTAGGCATTAGTATAATCGTCACATATCATGGAAAAACAACATGATATTAGTTGAAGAATCATCAAATACCACAAAAAAAAATAGAACATTATTTGTACTATCTCTATATATGAAAAGAAAGTTTCCTAAAGCTTACTACAAGATATTAAAGTATTACTACCTCTATTTTTAGACTGTTCTAACGAGGGAAGATTACCAACTGTTCAATCGCTTTTTAGTCGGAACTATGTGCATCATGTAGGTCCTAATGAGCTATGAATACCCTGAAAAGAGTTCGGGCGGCTAGCTTATTATTGTCGAGATAATGCATTTTTATGGTATTTTTAACTAAGCACAATGCCGTAGTCCCCCTCAGGAACCAGAACAACTAAGTTTCGAGTTTTGACTTGAAACTTTGTACAGAAACAGATCTCAGTGAGAGTAGTTTATTGTGAAAGTTTCAGGCCTTTTGGTTGTTCCTATCCTAAGATACAGCTAAAAAGGGTGTTTTTACACTGCTCGTATACCCTCGACAGGTTCCAATGTGCTTATTTCAGAATAGGAGCAACCAAAAGATCTGAAACTTTCAAAATAAGCCACTCTCATTGAGGTCTGTTTCTGTGCCAAACTTCAAGTCAAAATTCAAAACTCAGTTTTTTTGGTGCTCCTGAGGGGGACCACGGCGTTCTGCTTAACAATATCGTAAAAATGCAGTATCTCGACAGTAATGGGCTAGCCGCCCGAACTCTTTTCAGGGTATTCATAGCTCATTAGGACCTACATGATGCACATAGTTCTGACTCAAAAGCGATTGAACAGTTGGTGACCTTCCCTCGTAAGTATAACATATTTTTTATTATTTATTTATTAGTTTCCAACATTAAATCTTTTACGAAAGGATCAATCATTACTAACTAGTAATCAATGGACACTTCTCACAAATTTATTTCATTGTTATAAAGAGTCTCAGATTTTACCTTTTAGTCAACGTTTAATAGATACACACGATGTTTTACAATCTAATTATGTGATTTACCAAGCACTTGTAGATGATTTTTTAGGATCTATTTACAAAACAGTAGAAGCATATCTTTGTTCCAATGATGATTTTCGTAAATTATCATCTAATGATCGTTCCATAATGCTTCGTAGTGCTGCTGACAATTTATGCTGCATGAGTGGTGCATTCATTATGCATCATTGTCATTTATATGGTCTCGATGCTTTCTTAAACGTTATGAACGTAAAGTTTGGAAAATCTGCAATGGATATCCATATTTGGGCGAGAAAATTTGTTGATCCAGATATTGTATTGGTTAAATTGTCAATATCATTGTTCGCTTTCTCTGAAAATACATGTTGTTATTATTCAAATAGTTCGAATGACTTAACAAATCCTATTGATATTTTAGACATTCAAAATAAGTATGCAGAAGTAACATGGAAATATCTTCTCTTCAAATATGGTTACCATAACGCTGTGAAAAGATTTCTTAATATAACTCTTTGGCTTGCTTCTATGAATATTATAGCAGTTCATGCTCAATCTTTGCCAGTACATGTGAATAATATTGATTCACTTGTTGAACAAACTGAACTGACACTTATATTAGATGATATGGATCAAACAATTGAAACAAAATAATAGAAGTCATTTGTTTTTCAGATGTTTAATAGTACTATTATTTTGTTAGTCAGTCATGATTGGAATTCTTATTAATAAAATAAAAACATCTACAAATCACTTTACAAAGTGATCTAAAACTATATATTTGAAATAAAATTGTTTAGTTGTTTATATTCAGAATTCGTAATCGAAAAAGTATTAATCAATTGCATGGGCATTAATTATATTTGATGACTTAACACACTTAATGTGTTGAATTATTTTTTTAAAAGAAAAATATTCGATGATATTGAGGCTTTGTCAATACTAGAAACAGCAAAAACATGTGAATCTTTCTTTAATAGAAATAATCTGCTGTTGTTTTATTGAAGTTGATAGAAAGATATTCAATATCGGCAAAGAAAAGGAAATTATCAATTTTTCTTAAAAGATAATAAGATTGATAGAGATTAGTGCAGAGGAAGATTGTAAAATAGAAATTTAAGAAAGTTGATGACTTGGTAAGAATTATTTTTTGAGTCAAAATATGTTATTATGTGCTAAATTATTATTGTAACGTAAGTCTATGGGATGTCCAGTAAGTCATTAGCCAAAGAAAAATTTGAATATCTCAATCGTGCTTTGATCAAATGAACTGATTCTTTCACCACTGATAGAGGACTATTCCTAGTTCATATGCATAAGAATAACATTGGCAGAAAATATTTCGAAGTATCACTTTTGAAATCAATAAAAAGATATTGTCCACTTACGGGTTTCGAAAAATGTTATTTACGCTTAGGACAACGTAAAGTTGTAAGACATCTTAGTGTATCTGAGAGGAATTTAACCAGGTATATTCCTTTATACTTTAAAAAAATTAGTCTACTTTGGCTGGAATCTGCTAAACTTATTTAAATTTATTCTTTGCGATAACTTTTAGAACACACAATAAATAGGATCTTTTTTGAGAATTCACATAAGATGATATTTCCTTATTGGAGTCAATAGCGATACTTCGGAACAGCTCTTGTCAACATTATTCTAATGAATATGGACTAGAAACAGTCCTCTATCAGCGTTAAAAGAATCAGTTCATTTAGTCAAAGCACGGTTGAGATATTCAAATTTTTCTTTGGCTAATGATTACTGGACACTCTATAACATTCATGTCAATTGATCTGGTACTGTCGAAAAAATAATTTGAAATTTTTCAAAATTTCATTTCTAAACTTGAGTTTCGAATGCAATTCTACAACAATCCAAGAGGCTATACGAGAAATTTTATTCTAATTGGGCTCCTTCGAATAGTGGAATCATTTTACATACGAAACACAGTTCAAGGTCATAACAATAAACAAGAGGAATTGATTCAGAAAACTATCAGATTCTTGAGTACATGCAAAACCTATATGAATGGTCTTGACTAGATGTTACTTCAAGAGCCATTTGAATGTACCAAAAATTAGGATTGTCAAAAGCAACACTGGTATTTTTAGAGTTAGTCGTGAAAGAATTTCTTGAAAGATTAATCCTAAATTTTTATATTTATTTTTCTGTGCTCAACAGGTACAGTAACAAAACTGAAGAGTTAATACTTTAAGAAGTACAACAAGGAGAAAAAAGCACAAATGAAGAAATTGCTAAACTGCTATCGAGTTAAATTTATGTATGTTGTGTTTCAGATATGCAAAAATCTATGGCAGTTATCGAAAAAATTTCGAGTCTTGGAAATAGAACTGAATAGTAAAAAGAATCCTATCATATTTATAAATAAAAATAGCTGAATGCACATCTCTGATTAGAATAGAATAATAACTTTAAATCATCTTAATATTTAAAACAAGTCAGTTCAAGTTTTATATCATGATCATTGTCCATCATTTATGAAAAATCATTTTTATCTTTCACATGCTTTCTTTCTTTTTTAATGACAAATCCTCCATTTTTGTATATTTCCTTATTAAAATTTTATCTTTCACATCATAAAATACCGTACACCGTTTCGATATGCAAAATCATGAAACTCTAATATTTCTCTTTCCTGGAATAAACTAGCATAATATTTAGGCAACATTTCTTTCCATGATTATATGACTATTAAAATGTATGTTTTGAAACTGATTAAATTTGAATGTGTTTCGAAAAAGATTGAGCATATTAATTGAAAGACGACTCTCGTTCATCTGCTGTATGCATATTTTGTCATAGCCAATGATTAGATCTCAATAATTGTATTCATACATGTTGCTGACATTAATTATTCAGATGATTGTGAATTTCATTTCAACTTCTTTAGAAATTCTATTTAACTAATTGTAAAGTTGCTCGCTCTTATCAGAAGATGTTTCTTCGGTCAAAATTCGAGTATTAATATGGACTCAAATTCGGATCTACATCTCACTAATTTTCATAACAATTGATGTTATATTACATGCTTTTTTCAATGAGATCTACAGAAGCCGAACACAATTTTGAGATATCAATTTGTAAAACTTTTCTCTATATATTCTATTTCATTATCATCTAATTGATTAACAATAGGATGATGAAGAAATGTCTTTCAAAATACTTGAATTTATGACTCGGTCATGACGTTTCATATTGATATGACAGTATATTCAAAAATAAAAAAATCTCCTGTCAATTGTTGAATACTATGGATCTAATTAAAATTTGAATTTCATTGATCTAATTCTGCTATAACTCAATTTCTCAAATATTTTGAGTTGTGAATCAATTCTTATTACAATAGGCAAAGCTGAAGAAAAGATGTTAAATAAAAGCGTCTGTCTTTTGTACATGTTCTAGTTTTAGTGAGAAGAAATATTAAATTTATTTTAGAACGAAATCATTTTTTTTTGTTTTTTTTGGGTCTTTTGTAAAAATTCAGTAATTTGATAACGAAATAGTATCATAACCTAAAATTTTCAGGCTATATTTCTAGACTTTGTCAAATTAAGAAGACACAAATTATTGACTTTTTGTTATGATTACCAAAAATATACGTACAATAGCAGAATAGTGTTTTTTTATAAACCAATCCAACGTATCAACTCGATTCTTTTGTTACTGGCATTAAGTTATTTAGATATGGTGATAATATATTTTTCAAAAATAATTTTTCGTTTTGGTAATATTATCACGATTAATTGTCGTTCATATTCACTCTATTAAGTACTTGGTTGCAGGTGCATTTTTCTGTGACATGTGGGTAAATGAAGATAGGATCTTCCCTTCAATCACATTCACTCATCCTCACACTCAATCACATGTAGATCCACACTATTGTGAAAGAAAACCAATGTGATCACATGATTTTGATGATAATATATCACAAATCTAAAGAAATAAGATATTTTATTGTTTACAGAAGAAATATGTTTTATTCGTATAAAGATTAATCTAGTATAAGAAAAATAAATCTTAATAAATAAAAGAAATATAGAACAGATAAGAAGAACTTTAAAGAATGAATAGAAAACAAAAAAAAAAGGAAAATGAAATTTCGATTGTTGTACTATCAAAGCAGGTTCAACTTTTCCTAGTCTATCTCTTCTTCTTTTCTTTCCAATCGACACTGTTTTTGTTACTTGAGGCGGGTTTGAAATATTTCAAATGAATACTCACATCAACAACGTATTTTCATATACAATTCTCAAGTAACAACTTGACTATTTTCGTTTTGATGTTTGACCAATTTTTATTATGGTCCATATTCAAACAACAAATATCAAACGATTTTTTGAATGGATTAAAAGCAGTTCAATTTCTGCTTTTACATACATTTAAATTAGCTTGTTTAATCGATTGAAAATCACAAGCTGGTATATAATATCTTCTATTATTTTATTTTAATCAATTTAATGTGATATTAATAATTTATTTAAATTTCAAATTTGTGACGTTTTCGCATCTCGATGAAAGAGTTCATCAGACATTAAAATTAAGGCAAATGACATGTAAATAAATACAACGAGAATAACAAAAAATTTTCTTTTCTTTAATATGAGTCATACATTTGATAGTGATACGAAAAAGGACTCAATCTCTATCTACGTAGCTATTATTATTAGTCTTGTTTTCTATATCACTATCAAATGTATGACTAATATCAAAGAAAAGAACAAAAGAAAATTTTTTGTTATTCTTATTGTATTTATTTACATGTCATTTGTCTTAATTTTAATGTCTGATGAACTCTTTCATCGAGATACGAAAATGTCACAAATTTGAAATTTAAATAAATTATTAATATCAAATTAAATTGATTAAAATAAAATAAAATAAAAGAAGAGAATAAAATCATGTCAAATACAGTATATAATATCTCTTTGAGGAACCATTTGAAATACAAATTATATATTTTTTATTAGTGATTTCGCCGATTGATACGATAAAGTCCATAATGATAAAGATATTGATGATTCTGTAGCAAATATTTTTGATTCATTGAGGTATTATCTTATTCCATTGACCAATTATTAAACAATATTTGAAGTTATTGTCAAAAAATTTCATAGAACCTGAGTTTTCCTACACGTTCCATCATCTTTGATTTTTTTGTTGGTTGTTTCTAGAGAGTTGTTTATGTTTGGTACATAAAGTTGTATATCTTCATATCAACTTTTATTTATTTTGCATCATTTATTGTAAAAAAATAATTCAAAAAGTCTAATGTTGATCGATCTTTTTTTTTTGCTTATTGTTCATTTTCCACTTTATAAGTAATGTTAATATTATCTAAATGAAGCTGTAGAATTGGACAATTGAAATATTTCAATACCTTTTATAATTTTTTTTTTGAAACATATGTATCATCTATTTGAGTTACTCTTGAATAAATTTCGATTTTTATTATTACTATTTAATTTAATGATTTTTAAATATAACAAAAAATCTAATTATTTTAATAGCGGATCATTTAAATAGTTTACTGACCACTCAAAATGATAGCCAAAATTATTTGCGTACAAACATTTGTGATTTTCATAACTAGTCTATAAATTTTCATCAATATAATAGCAGAAAATAAGAAGAAAAAAGTCTTTTAATTTTTCTTTTTTAATGTAATATTTTCAATATTTTTAAATATAAATAAGCTAGTATATATAGTTTTGAATCCTTTTCTCTTGATTGTTCGGCATAACTTTTGTTGATATTGATCATTCTATATAATAATCGATGTTCAAATTTCGAGACATCATTTAATAAAATTCTTGAATCTGCTTTTAAGTTAACTTTTCGTAAGTCTTCCAATAAAATAAATAATTTAATCTTACTGAAGAATTGAGAAAAGATTCTCATGACTCTATTTTTATATGGACATATATATATCTGTTATTATCTCACTTATCTACTGTTGATAAATAGCTCTTGTAGAAAAAAGTCAAAGGGCGTACTCTCACATGTATGAATACGATGTACAAAACCTATTTTATCATAAATGACGTCGACGAAAGAAAACAAAAACTTACATGCGTAAGCATAGGCATGCTTTATATATAATGACATATTGTATAATTGGATTAATATTTTATTTCTTGATTAATCTACAATAATGACAAAAATACTATTCAAAAAATAAGATATAATGTCGCCTACGTTGTCTTCGTTCTTTTTTTTTTTGTTTTTTAGTTGAAGTCATGCTCTATCAACCACTTTAATACTGTATAAATCTCATCAATTGTACAAAACAAATCGTTTTTTTACATAAGACTATTCAAGTTTGATATTATCAAAGGATCATGAAAAAGTTAATCTTACATTTATTACTAGCTACTTTGACTATTGTTGCTCTATGTGCAGCTCAAGATGATCGAATTAAAATTGACAAACGACGTGCTATACCCATAGCAACTCGAACAGTTCCTCCAATTGTCATTGGTTCAAAGACTTTCTGTTTAAGATTCCCATTTTCACCTAGATGCCATCCATGCAAATATAGTCAACCAATCAGAAAGGCTATTTGTGGACAAGGACAAAGCAGATGTGAATTATTAGGTGGTACATGTAAATTTAATCAATATGAGAGAGCTTATTGTTGTCCATATGAACATCGAGGTTGCTGTCCTTTGGTAATATATTTTCCTATTATTACTGGACGTCCTCCTATATGCCGTTCTCCACAATGTAGAACAGATGCGCAATGCAAAAATTATGAAAAATGTTGTGGAATTTGCCGACAATGTGTCAATGCTACACTCGCATAATTACGAAGAGTAATATTTATTTTGCCGACAAATAAGCTTGAAAACTCTTTTTTTGTGTAACAAATAAACTCAATTCAATTATTTTTACTTCGTGTTTCGTTTCACAAAACAGAATTCTTCTTCTTATGTAACATTTACAGTAATATTAGGATTGGAATCAAGAAAAACAACGAGATTATCATTTTTTTTTATCTATTGAATAGAGCCGTTTTCGTGAGAAATATCTTTGGAATAAATAATATATTGTAATTTAATGAATGCCTTTTTATGTCACATCCATTAGAAAAAGAATATTATTTTCGGAAGCTATGTTTTAATACATTGTTTAGTTCGACAAAAATTCGAATAGCTAAGATTACATTACTGTGTATTTGTAATTTGCTTACCCATTGAAAAATAGTTGTTATTCGTGAAACAAGTTTATTACAAAATGTATATGTAAAGTACAAAGGACATAAGTGTTGCGAATTGTATTTTTCTTATTAAAAATTTAGTTTATAAATGAAATAATTTTATGAAGTTAGATAGGAATAGTGCAAGAATAGACTCTTCCAATATAATTTATAAAGCTTACAATGAAGATACAAAATGTTGATGGAACATTGGATGCTTCATTGGACCGCTTTCTCTAGCACCTCGTATTATTTTAAGTTTTCTATTTGAATTTTATATCCAATAATGTTCTATATTAACTAAATGGCGCAACAATCAGGACTATAACTAGATCATTTGTATACTTTAGAATTATGTTCGTAACTAGAGAACGTGACCTTTCAAGCATGCAGTGATTTTTATATACAAATGTTATTCAAAAATGTATGGAGAAAAATACAAATGATATACGAACACATTTCTCTTTCGTTGTAAACTTCTAATTATATTATAAGTATCTATTCTTATAATATTAATATTTATCGTTGTAACATTATTTCAATCACAAACTGGATATTTAATATCAAAAATACGATTCACAATATTTTTGTTATCGGTTGATACGTATACATCATTGATATTTCACATAAAATTGTTATATCAATTCAGTTTTTGTTGAGATATGATCAAGTTTTTTCTTTACTTTTATTTCAGATCTTAGTTATTGTCATTGGGCTGATTCAAATACAAATCTTGCCATGACCATTCTATGTGTTGCATCGAATAAAACGGAGAAGTAGGTAGACATTGAGTAATAAAAAAAACTCACGAGAGAAGATTCACCAGTGATTCGCACTGTTTGGACTCATCTTTTGCTGACATGTGGAGCTCATCATATAGATCAAATACCTGAAAGAGTTCGTGCCATTGCTGTATAGTTTCAAAGTTATGAGCGAAGCAGCTGTTATGATGGATGGTGTCACCCAGAGATGGAACCAGTCTACCGGTACTAAACAGAATGCTGATGATACGCCAGTTTATTAGAGAAAATTCGACCTACCGTCAAAATATCGATCTACAGACAACAGGCTGAGGCTTGAAATGAAACCTTGTTTCATGGTAAACTCTCTTGCGGGCTATCTTCCAGAGACCGTCACAGGGCAGGACTGCCCTGATGCCCTGCCCTGTTCTTCAGGGCAGGGCAGGGCGAAACTTTTTGCTCTGATTCAAAGAAAGTTTTTAGCAGAGTGTGAATAAAATTCAGTTTTTTATTAGAAAACTGATTAAAATGGCAAAATTGTCATTGAATTTTAACCTAATTATTTGATGTTCAATCGATTAAACTTTGTGACTAGATCAACACTTGTATATTCCATTCAAATTTATTTTTCTAGTACCTTTTTCTCAAGAAGTTTTTATGCCAGAAGGCTTTCTTGCTCAGCTCAAGAAGTGTATGTGGATCAAAACAAAGTTTAACCGAGAGATCCAATCAAATGTTGCCTGTCGATCTTAAGAGAAGACTTAATTTATCTCTGTTGAAAAATAGCCGCCTTTCGTATAATATCCACGATAAATAAACAATCATTTTATTTTATATTAGAAGTTCGTTCACAAGAGCACAACAAAGGCGAAATAGAAGCTAATCTGATTCCTAATTTTGTTTTCAAAAATTCTGAAATTTCTTTAGATTTATTAATGTCAAACTTGGTTTTTTGAGTAACAGACAATTGTTTTACAATTAAAATCACTTTACTCCGATTAAAGAATTTTTTTCAGCAAAAATCTTAGTATTCTGCAATATTTAGTTTCTAAAACGTCTATCAACGATAAAAGGCTAAAGTTCAAATTTAAATTGATTGTTTTTGGATTAAAAATCAATTGTAATAGCACTACTTTAATCGGATTTTGTCAGCTAATAGACAGATTTCATTCGATTTAAAATCTTTTTTCATTTATTATAATCGATGACTCAAAATACAGCAATTATAAATTATTATTAGAAATCGATTTCAATTGATGAAAGTTATTTCACCCAAAGTATTATTAAAAAATCTTACAATAAAATGAAATCTGTCTTTTTGACTGAAAACTCTGGCTAAAGGCAGTCTAAAATAGTGCTATTTTAACTAACGTTTACGTCAGACACAATCGATTTTAATCTAATCTTGAACCGTTTTTCTACATGGACAAATAAGTCTCAGAATATGTTTTTAAATGTTTGGTTCTATATGTGAATGCGAGGAAAAAACTTGGCGATGAATGGAAGGCCAGTATTGGTAGGGTTACATGAACTTTCGTAATAGAAAACCATCACGTTTTATTTCATGGAAATGAGACATGAGTTTTATTTATTGCTATGTTAGTTTATACAATTGAACAAGCAATTATTATCGTATGTTGAAACATGATATGTCAAAGATCGACTTAATATTACACGTACTGTTTGTCTTAGTAAGGAGTTCAGAAAAAATGAATTTTTTAAGTTTCACTTTCAAAAATACACCATTCAGCCATATCATTATTGAAAACGGTTGAAAATCGAATAATCTGATTCTAATAGTAGTATTTTCATTCAATTTTTAAACATAAGAAGTCCATTAAAATGATATGATTTCTGAAGCTCGTACAACAGTACTTCTTTCTGGTACATGATGGTGTTTAATTACATAATAACTTTGATTGTGGCACTTTCGAAATAACATAAAGTATGAGTATAAAATTCGAAAGCAATCAAATAATTTTTATGAAGATTTTAGATCTTATACTATAGGCTTACTTAGCTTAGACACCCTGCCCTGCCCTCAGGGCAAAAAAACTACCCTATGACGGTCTCGGCTACCTTCGTACCTTCACGCATAATGGCATAATGCTTCACAGTTGATAACAATAGTCTCATTGATGGGCATTCTGAGAATTATTTGTTAAATAAATTCGTGTGTGATGAGTGGAACTAGTCTTGGTTTCAGTTGTTTTTTCATGTGAATACCATCAAAGAGTAGGAAAGTGAAATTTAGATCGGTATAAGGCGGTTTCGACTGATGAGACCAGTTTAGACCGGCCGATCTAAAAATCCAGACCGGTACCGAACCGGATAGGACCGGCCGGTTACCGGTACCGGTTCTACCTCTGGTGTCACCTTCTATGCAGTACTTTTTTGTTCCTTTTGTAGCTTGACTAGATGATAGCCTTTTGCATAGAGGCTTATAATACATACTTGTTTCAGCTTGCTCGAATGAAAAACGTTTTAAGAAATATGATTCAGTTACATTATGGAAAATAGAAACCATTATTGAATAGATGGTAGCACTATCTATCATAGCAGATATTTCGCTCATAACTTGGAAACTGTGCAACAATGGCACGAACCCTGTAAGGCATTTGACCTATATAATGGGTCCCACATACCAACCAAAGATGAACCCAAACGATGTGAATCACTTGGAAATGTTCCTCGTTAGACTATGAAAGAATACAATGAGAAGCAATAAATCACTAAACCATATACATATGAAAAGAAGAGATAAAGAATAGAGCTATTAAGAATCTTATAAGTTCTATTTAATGAATGAGTGAGTGACAGATATATCCAGAATGAATAATTTTTCTGTTCTCTCTTACACCATTCACTGAGTTTCTCTTTCAACTATAGGAACACAAATGTATTTTGATCGAATGGTTATTTAACTTGTTGTAATAAAAGAACTCGGACATTTCAATAACTAATTACATCTTTCTGCGTAGTTTATTGACAATCAAACAGCTCGAATCTTGTCGTCATTCCTTTCTTATTTTCATGAAATGAATCATATTTTATATTTTTCTTAACAAACTAAACTCATGACATTGCCTCTATCATAATATACTCTGTCATCAATTTAGTGATGCATTAAATAATTGACAATAACAAATTCAGTCCAACATGAAAGCTCACAAATGCTTATATTATCAAGAAATTTCTATTTACTTTCAAAATATTTTCCAAGTCGCTGTATGTTATAAATGAACGCGAAAACTATTAACTATTTGCTGTTGCGCATAAATGCAAGATAATATTACATGTATAAAAATAAATTTTTTTTTAAATATCTTTTTAAACAAAACATATGAGACTATAGATGACTGTTTTTCTTGTAAATAATGGATGACTTATAATCCATGACAGGACTTTGAATTTTATTTTTTCATCGTCTAATACATTTCATTAAAAAACAATATATATCCACAAGATGTAGCGTACAAAGTTCTCGACCGTACGAAAACTGATTACAAGGAATTTTAATTTTTTTTGAAAACAATTACAATAAGTTTTGCTGTATATTTTGAAATTATTTTTACTGCATCAACCCGATAAAACAAATATGAAAATAATAGATTATTTTTAATGGTTTTTACCATTTTTATCAGAATGTATAAAACATATTTTCAGTATGTTTCAAGAGATTTTATTGAATTTAAATTTTATTTACTTATTCAATGATTATGAATAACAAAAAATATTTTCCTTGTAATTGTGTTAATTGTGAAAAGTTAGTATTTAAATGAAGTTTTTGTCAAGATTTTTCATTTTACTTGTTAATTGAATTCCTTTTTTTTTTGTTGTTTCGTATATTTAAGCTTATATTTCTTATATTTGAATAAAAACTTATCTAATTCATTCATTGATTTTATGATGAAATTTCTCTAATACAAGTTTAGTTTTTTCTTTAATTTAGGTTATATTTTTTCACAAAAGTATACTTGAAATCATGCGTTTGTCTTTGATATAAGATAAAGAAGAAAAAATGTTATTTTGACATCATATTTCAATATTTTTTATTTTGTTGAAACTTTTATTTTGCTATTTTGATTTAAATTTAAATCAAATAATTCTATTCAATTTTTTGTTTCCATATTCATACGTATTGGTGTGAACGGAGCCGACGGATTCTGATGAACTGCAAATCCTTGATGTAAGGCTTGTGAAGGCGAAACCTCAGTGAGCATGTTCGATAACATGTGCCTAATATCCTCGCTTTTACCAGACCTCTAAAATTCAAGTGTAAAATATTCTCAAATCGATCTAAATCGATCATGATAGCTTTACATCGAACATATTTTTACTTAATATTAAACTAAGTATTTTATGACATGATTGTGCAACAATTTCAGAATAGTATTCTTGTATATGGGATCCCGAAGTAAGTACGTATATTTGAATTTGAGATAACTACTTAAATAGAACCTCAACATAAACTTCTCATCCTTTTGAATACTAAAATTTGCATTCAAATATAGAATATGTTAATAAGTGTGATATTGTGTTGTTCTGTTTATTGTTCGAATCTCAAAACTGTACAGCAAATTCAATTGTCTCATCAAATGTTTATTCTAATTTAGTATAAGTCACTCTTCTTTTCGGTCTTCAGATTCTACTATGAATGCAAGTGAAGATATAGTGAACAGACAGAGATGGCAATGCGACTGAAGTGGACATCTTCACCAAACATCTTCAATCTCAATTCTAAAGCAACACAAATGCCTTGTCTCCTTTAGTTCTTGTGCTTATGTTAGATGGTATGTGTCAATGTCACTTATTTGCTTTAATAGCATGCACAAAAAAGCTTTTGATTGTAAAAAAACAGTAGAATAAAGAGAAGACCATTGACGATGATATTTATGTTACATATCAAACTTAACGAAATTTTTCATTATCAAGAAAATGTAAATTAATTATCCAACTAATAAATACAATGAAGTGAAAAACTTTTTTCTTAGATATTTAATGTTTTTCAACGAAATTAATAAGAGAATTAGCAATCTTTCCATGACACAGTATGGAATTCTTTTGTATTAATCTTGCACATAAACACTTCAAGCTAAGTTTTGTTTTAGTTCTAATAAATTGCTTAATATTTGAATTTGTTGCAATATCAATAGGTGTCTCTCGTAAAGCATTGACATAATCAGCATGAGAACCAGCATCAAATAGATATTGAATTATAGTATTATCAACTATAGTTGATTGGGAAACAAATATATGAAGAGGTGTGTTTTGAACAGCATCCCTGGCATTCACATCAGCACCACATTGTATAAGTAAATGAACTGTATGTAAAGATGGATATCTATAACAATCGATAATCTTTCACAAATAAGTATTTTAAGAAAAAAAAACATACTTGCAAATGAAGTCGATGAAATAGTCATTTGCAGATGTATGATTACTTAAACTTAAATGTAATAGAGAAGATCGATAGGTTTGGGTAACATATTGACGTTGAATAATGCTGTGAATATGTCGATAAAATAGTTTACGGTCATCATATGAAATCATTGATTTTGATAGCATCTAAACAAGAAAATCTCGATTGAAAAAAAAGAACAGCAAAATTTCAGCTAGATATCTCAATACCTGACTAACGATTGTTATTAAGAAAAGTAAAGTATGTAGATTATAATCAAAATCTTTCGTATGATGTTCTAATTCTTCAATTACTACTGTTATTATTGTCTGCCATGATACAATCGGTATCGATAATGAATTACGTAACATGTCACTAAACATTGAAGCCCACTGACGCAAATCTTCCATGTCAATAGATAATGAGTACTGTCGACGTAAATTAAGTTCATACAACCAAAACTCAATTCCTCGATAATGCTCTGCATTATCAGCTAGAGCGGCACCATGATATTGAAGAGAACGACGATATTTTGTATTAGTTGAACCAAGCAAACGTTCACGTACAAGTAATGCTTCAATGTACATATGATTATCATTTAATTGAAGTTTTTTTAATTCATCGATTGTTTGACATTCTTGTCGATTATCAAATACTTCAACAGTTGATAACCGTAGAACTTTAGGAAGATTATGTTGAAATCGAAGTTCAAGTGCTCGATAGAAGTATTCAAACGATTGTTCAAGATTATAGCTTCCATGTTCACCACAGGCAAAAGCACTTCCAAGTAATTCATGCGCTTCGATTTTTTCAAGCAATGAACATTGTGGAGAAATAGCATCGACAAGATCAATTCGTCTCTTTTCAGCTGCTAATAATAGTGGAGACATTTGATCATGATTTGATCGAAAATTTCGAGCACCATGATTTAGTAAAAATTGAACTAATTCAAATGAACCACGATCTACAGCAAAGTAAAGTGGTGAACAACCATTATCCATTGATTCATTTACATCACAACCTAATTCATCAACAAGATAAGTTACCATTTTTAAATCTTCATTGTAAACAGTTAATATAAGATTTGTTTCATTATGTATTTTGGCAATATGTATATTAGCACCGTTCTTATTCAAATAACGAGCAATATTCATATTACCATTGGAACAAGCACAACGAAATGCTGTTGAATTTGTTTTAGTTGTATGATTAATTTTAGCTCCATGTTCGATAAGTAATTTCACAATATTAACATTGTCAATGGCAACTGCTGCCCATAAAACAGTTACATTTTCATACATTAATAAACTTTCATCTCTTTCTTCGAGTTGTATATCATTTAGCACTTCGAGATCAACTCCAGAATAATTAAGCAATATTTGTACTATGTCTTCGAACTCATTTAAACAAGCAATCATAAGTAAAGTACATTTTTGTTTGTTCGATTCATCATATGTTCGATTTAAATAGATCTCAGGATTGTTCATTGTCGACAAATGATTTTGGAATGTTTTAACATCTCCTTGACGAACAGCAGATAATAGTAAGTTACTTACGTCCTCCTTGAAGTCATCGTTGTATTTCATCGTCATTGCAAATGCATAGAAATGAAAAAAAATAATGTTTTACCTTGCATTTCTATTCACACGTGCAAGTTGTATTTCTTGGATATTTCTTCCGCTCTTCTGTTTTCTTGTGTTAGTTAAGATGAATCATAGTATGCATAGAAGGTAAAAAATATTTTGACTAAACAGAACAATAAAAATACACTTATGTTCAGCTGTTCTTTTTCTAAAATATTTGATTGTCAAATAGTGATAAGTCTTCATGAGTTTTTATCTAATGTTTGATTAAAATAACCCAGTGTGTAAAATGATTGATAATTCTTCTTATTATCTTAGAAAATTGTATGATATTTGAATTCATTCCATACAATCAATACTGTAAGGAGAGAAGCAGTTAGGTTTACAAATCCTTTACAATTATTAATAATAATTTACTATTTTTAATAATTCATCATTCTATATTCAAAATCACAAGCTAATTATGAGTTTTAATTTTAGTTGTAAAATAAATGAAGAGTTAAGAACTTTATATCAACTTGAAAATGATTGACAAAAAAATTCAAGTTGGCGTTTCATTATAGAAATAGTCAAATATAAGTTTTAACACGACTATAATTTTAGTAAGAAACAGAAACCATCGTAGAAATTTCGTGAATAGATTTAGAGTGAGAGAGATGACCGAATGAAACACGGGACATCATCAGAGTTCTATTGAACCTCTACTTGAATTATAAATATTAATTCACTCAAACTCTATTTTTGATTATGGATATGAATTGCTAATGGTTCGGTTTTATCATTTTTATTTATATTCGAACTCAAATTAGACTACTACTCAAAACATCGTACCATGCAGCTAATTTACTTCTTGATAAAAATTTATTATCATTGTTTGCGTTACCTTATTTAGTGTTTTCATTAAATATATGTTTGTGCAGTGAAGATTTACTTGTTCATACTACAGTAGTTAATTTTTGTAAATTTGAAAGAAATACATGCCACTTGTTCTGGATTTTGTTGGTTCATTAGTATTCTTGCATGTGCGCCTAGAAAATGCAAGTAAAGAATGATCCCATATTTCCACTACACAGTGGAATTAAGTGTTCAGTTGATCGCATGTCTTAGAACAGTAATACCCGTCGTGACAATATCAAGAATATCTCATTAAAATATTTTTGTAGTAAAATTCACTAACGTTTAATTATAATTCATCAAAATATTAATAATCAGGCATTGAAACGATTTATCAACATCTGACAATATTAAAATCTTTAAATGCTAAAAGCTATGAAAAAATAAATGTGTGCAGATTTCAGATATAATAGATACTATTTAATGGCTATTATCATAAGACTTTATTAGTATAATTAAAATCGCAACTATACTATATTTTTTTCGTTCCTTATATACTATTTCCTAGCATAGAGAGACCTTGAAAAATACAGTAAACGTAATAACAGAAAAATACGGGGTGTGCAAGGACAAATTCAGAGAAGAACAAAGGTTAAGTTACAATTATAGATAGCGCTACGTACGAAGGAAGGACAAACTAATAATGCCATTCCAATGTACATATAGGAGAAAAATGAGATGAAAGCACATAGAAGTATTGATAGATAATAGACAAAAAAGGCATCGTGGTCATTTCAATCGAGGATAAGGAACAACTTCTTGTACGTTAGATTAGATTGTTATAAAGTGATCTAATGTCAAAAAAAGACAATTAGTAAACACAAAAGTTATCTAGCTTTTTTCATACTTGAAAAACAATTGTCTTCTCTCATACAAGGTGACATTCGTGTTCTCAAGATAAGTTTTTTTTTCGTTCTTTTATCATACTGTTAAGATAAAAACGACAGTAGGAAGACAAACACAATAAACTATTAGATCTTTAGAAAAAGTACAAAAAAGCCAGTATCAGTCTATTTCATTCATCAGAATTTAAAAAGATATTCACATAGTTATCAACATGGTAGACTTTCTACTAGTCAATATCGTTTGGCTTCTTCATTTTGTCATATGTTTCTACATTATCCGTCCTATTCGTCACATTCTAATTCGAGCCATTTTGACTTGCGTACCATGTATATTACTGACTGATATTTGCACACGTAATCTTCCTCCACATCATATTTTTTCTGTCTTTACCATTGCAATATATTGGATGGTATCGATTCGTCTCTTTCATTTAGTCGTTCTTACACCTGACACGTTTCCAACATTTTCTTCCTTTACTGCAAAATGTCTATGGATTCTCTTACCAGTTATACCTTGTCAATCGAAAGAGAAGCAATGGCCTATCATCTTTTATTTGATTTTTGGTGTAGTAAAATTTATACTTAATCGTTGGTTACATAGATGGTTACTGATATGTGAATCAAATGATAGTTATATGAGAGTATTTATTTATTTCTTATCAATATTAACATTTTCATATGTAGTCGATATTGAGACGGTTCTTGTGCGAATAATCACTCGAGATAAATATACACTTCAATCACTTAACAATTTTCCATTCTTCTCTCAATCATTACGTGAATTTTGGGGTCGACGATACAATCGGATCATCAGTACAATTTTCAATGAATCAATTTTTCGGCCTCTCAGTTTATTTATACCTTCTCGATCAATCGTATCTTTATTAATATTCATTATCAGTGGTCTTTTTCATGTACATATTGTCTTTATTGTTTTCAATGAGCCTTCATCGGCTTTGCCTACATTTGCCTGTTTCTTTCTGAATGGTATTGCTTGTTGCATAGAAGCACATCTTGCAATTAAGTTACCACCATTACTTGGATGGTTGGTAACACATAGTGTCCTTTTTGTAACAGCACCAATGTGTCTTGGAACGTTTGCACGAGACAAATCTGTATTTTTTGGTCTAGATGGTCTTTCAACGTATGGTGATCAATGGATTTCAAAATTGCCTATGCCCAAGAGTTGTCCGAAATAAACAACAACAAGAAAAATGTCAAAACTGTACTGATATGTTTTATGATGATCAGTATTGAATAAATAAAAGAAAAGCATTTTTTTACAATTTTGTAGTGAACTAAAACTCGTAAACGAAGATTGTTAAAAGTCGACGTCAAAATGGACGTAATTGATTTTAATTGTATTCGCACGCTATAGCTCGAATAATCATGCTTCACAGAGATGATAGCAAAGAATTTTTTTTGCCTATATGTAGTAACAAAATGAATAGGTGGTGTCAATAGGCAACAAATGGCCCTGAAGTATCAGAGTCTATTGAGCTCGATCAGTTCCTATTTCAATCCGACAACTCTGACTGATTAATCGAATAAAACATTCGAACCAACTGATCTGCAATAGATACACTCGGATTAATTCAGAAGCAATTGTGGTAAAAGACATTCATATAAAAATAATGTAACTTTGATGATCTACATTCATTACGGTGTCTTGAGATCAGACAAACAAACTATTTTTGCACTACAATCGAGGCAATCAATCGTGCGCATGATTTTTTTTTCGGCAGTTTTTTTTACTGATTCGCTCGACTTTTATTATGAGCCAATGTATCAAGAGGTAGCTCATAATTGATAAGAAGAACGAAAATAAAGCTTAATGTAGTACTCGGCAATATTGAAAATCTAATTACAAGTCAACGTAGAATATTATTTATTTTCTTGATTCATTCTCAATCAATTTAATAAGGACTCTGGAGAGAGAACTAAACAATACAAAGACTATTAGGTACAACAATGTCATTCATGCAAGAATATTTTAGTCGGTTCTCTTATTCATCTTCTTCTCAAACATTTCTTGCCTGGTCATGGTATTCATTTCGGCTTGTATATAGTTCAGAAGAATGACGTTCAGATGATAGATAATTTACAATACAAAACAGTACAAAGACTCTATTCAGTATCAGCACAGTTTTTCCTTTGCATCTTCCATTAACACATAATAAAAGTTGAAAAAAAAATAATAAATCACAAAAATAAAACTGTATTTCATATGCGTGTCTAATAATATTTCTATTAGAACATAACTGAGTTTTTTTTATTACTCAATGTCCACTAAATTTTCCGGTTTTTTACATGCAATATATACAATATCCTGGCATGCTTGGTACTTGAACCAGCCAAATAAAAAAAGCTAAGATATTAGATAAAAATACAGAAAAATTTTGATCATTTTTCAACAAAAACACCATTGATATAAAAGTATCATATATGAAATGTCATGATACATACGTATCTACCAATGACAAAAATACTATAAGTTGTATTTTTGATATAAAATATAGGATTTGTAAATGAAATAATGTTATGAAGATAGATATAAATAGCACATAAAAGTTGACAACGAAAGGACAATATGTTTATATATTGTTTGTATTTTTCTCAATACATATCACATTCTCCAGTTAAGAATATTTTTTTGAAGTATGCAATTAATCAAATTATAATCGTGATGTTTACACTATTGAGCTAATATGAAACATTATCAAATGGAAAATTAAAATAAAGAACTTGAAATCACATGTTAAACTAGAGAATACGATCCGATGAAGTATACAATGTTCTATCAACACTTTGTATCTTCATCTTAAGCTTTTTACTACACTAGAAGAGTCTATTCTGGTACTATTCATATAAGTGATTTCATTTATAAACTATAGTTTTAATATCAAAAATATAATTTGCAACACTCTTTTGTCCCTGGTAGTATAGTCAGACATTTTGTAATAAACTTGTTTTACTACTAGGAACTATATCTCAGTGGAGAAGTACATTACAAATACACAGCAATATAATCTTAGTGATTTGAAATTTTGTCAAATTGAACAACTTTTTACAACATAACTTCCGAATATAATATACTTTATCTAACGGATGCAATATAAAGAAGTGTTCATTCTTTTTTTTTCTTTATACCACTCTTCATAATATTATAAAGGTCACAGAAAGAGGATACTTCTGTTTTGTGAAATGAAACACATAGTAAAAATAATTGAAGCAAGGCTATTAGTTATGCAAAAAACAAAAAAAAAGAATTTCAAAGTTTATTTGTAGGCAAAGTAAATATTAGTCTTTGTAATTATTAATAGACGGCTGGAACACATTTTCGGCAAATTCCACAACATTTTTCATAAGGTTTGCATGATGCATCTGTTTGACATCGATGACAGAATGGACTAGGACGTGGAAAGATAATAGTTCGGTATTCTACTGTTGGACAACAACCTCGATGTTCCCTTGGACAACAATAAGCTATGCCGTATTGATTAAATTTACATGTACCACCTAATGCTTCACATCTTCTTTGTCCTTGTCCACAAGTAACACCTATAATTGGTGAGCCATATGTGCATGGATTACATTTGGTTGATGATGGAAATTGTAAACAGTACTTAATTGGATCAAAGATAATTGGAGGAACCGTTCGAATTGGTATTAGTACAGTACGTGATTTGTCAATGTCAACAGAATCACCTGGAATTGCATGTAAGCCAACAATAGCCAAAGTTGTTAATAATAAGCGTAAGATTAACTTGTTCATGATCCTTTGATAATATCAAACTCGAATAATCTTATATAAAACATAATTTGTTTTGTAAATTAATGAGATTTATATAATATCATAGTGATTGACAGGGCATGACTTCAATGCAAGAAAAAAAAAATTAAGACAATGTAGGCGATGTCATATCTTTTTTTTTGAATCATATTGATCTATTTTTGCCAGTATTGTAGATTAGCGTTGCAAAAAAATATTCATCTAGTAATAAAATATATCGTTGTATAAAACATGACTATACTTACGCATATAGGTTTTTGTTGTTTGTCTTTCGTTGACGTTATTTACGATTAAATGGATTTTGCGCATTGTAATTACACATGAATGAGTATGCTCGTTAGCTTTTTAGATGCATTATTTATCGATAGTAGATAAATGAGTTAATAATAGGTATATACGTTAATATAAAAATACTATCATGAGAATCTTTTCTCAAATATTCAGTAGGATTAAATTGTTCTTTTTATCTAAAGACTTATGAGAGGCTTAGTTGAAAATAGATTTAAGAAGTATATGAAATTATGCCTTGAAATTTGGTACATCGATTATAATATAAAATGATCATTATTAACAAAACAAATGACGAAAAACGAAGAAAAGACAAAAAAAAAACAAGGACTCACAATTGCATATACTACTTTATTTATGTTTAGACATATTTTGAAATATTACATTAAAAAATTATAAGACTTTTTTCTTCTTATTTTCTGCTATTATATTGCTAAAAATAAATACATCTGTTGTCAAAATCATAAATCCTTGTACGTAAACAACTTTGACTATTATTTAAGTGGTCAGTAAAATATATAAATCATTAACCATTAATATAGTTAGCTTTGTTAATGTATTTGCAATCAGTAAATTAAACTAAATTAAAATTAAAATATATTAAGAAGTAACTCAAATAAATGATACATATATTGAAGAAAAAATAATAGAAGATATTGAAATATATCAATGATCTTATTCCTTTAGATTTGTAGCGTAGTATCATCAAAATGATGATAATATTGGTTTCCTTCCACAATAGTATGGGTTTGTATGTAACTGAAGAAAATACTCTACTCTCACGCGACAGAAAAAATTCATTTGCAGCAATTTTATCAGAATCACGAAAGCAATTCACTTACATATTGATATTATCTATTTTAGTAATTAGTAGATTGGCTATATGAAGAATATATTTTGACAAATTAGAACTATCAAGTCAAACATCTCAAACTTCTCTTAGGAAAAGTCAGATTTATCTAATAAATCGAATATATCACTACGTAACTATATCATGTGCTTGTCAGGAGAACTTTCATAATTGATGACACATATTCAATAGACATTGTCACATTGTGAAAAACCGCAAAGAATAATTTATGCCATACAATATTCTAGACTTTCTTGAAGAGATATAATTATCTGTTTTTAATTGTGTTCTATTCAATGGATAATTTTGTCATAGTAAGAAGTCATTTTTAGCCAATCGTTCAATACTGTTTATGTCGTTTGAGAATGACCTTGAACCATTTTATCAAGCATTGTTTGGTTTCAACGAGAACTACGACTGTTTTCATAATAATAAGGATATAAAATAATATCAATATGTATAATCATTTATTCATTCATGAATATCTTGAAAGAAATGTGTTTTGTTTTCAATGATTTCTATTTTGTTTATTAAATAAAACGACGCAAACCAATCCACAATACGAAAGCAGCGATAGAAGGAAAGAAGATTATTTTGTTGCTTATAGCTTTTTTCAACACGAACAATATCGAAAGAAAAACAAGTAAAAATAAAGAAACAAATATAGATCCAGAAAGATTGATGTATGTAAAATGTTCGTCAGGTTCTAACATGACTAATTCTGGTCCTAATATAATTCTTGAACTTTTTGCTTTATAATCATATACTTGTACAGCTTGATTTTGTGGTACTCGATATGTAACCACTTTGGTTTTGTCTCGTTTAGTCGTTTGCAACGATGATGATGATGATGATGTTATTGTTGTTTTGTTCTGTCTTTCACCTAAACGATCTCGTTGCAGAAATTCTTCTATGCTTACGGGTAGCTCTTTTTCCCAGAGTTCTTCATCTTGCGTTAACATATATGTATTACCAATGATCGCACGAACACGACCACTTCTCAAGTCACGAACATAGATACCTTCATTTTCATCTAGAAAAATTTTTACTAGATAAACAAAATATGAGAGATCAATCAAACTACCCAAAGGTATCGCTTTTCGTTTTTGTAATACTTCAACTTGTACTGGTGGTATATACTCTCGTGGTCCTCTGGCTACCCATTTGTCACCTTAAAAAAATTCAAATTATTTTAGAGTCATATATAATAGACATATCTAATTATTGTCGAGTTAGAACCTATCGATTGGTTATTTTTCTATGATAGAAACACAAGAAAAATTATTTTCTCTTACCCGGTACACGGATGACATTATCTATTTCGTCATTAAACGTTTCAATACATTTCACGACGACACCTTCATCGTTACTCAAAATACATACATCTTGAATTCCTTTCTCTAATTGTTCATTAGGTTGTAGAAAAAATGATTTATCACCAACGACTAATTTCTTCTTGCCCAATTGATTTTTACCATCAGCTTGAAAAGAAAATAGATATCATAAGAATTTCGATCATAATTCGATGTTTAATATTCTTACATGAAACTGGATTTAAGATAACACAATATTGTCTTGAATTCAGTATATTTATATTAACAATGTCTACAAGTTGTTCATAAACGTTCAAAATATGTGTTTCAGTTTGTTCTTTTGTGACGAGCCATTCGTCACCATTATTTCGTATTTGACCAAAATCATCCTTGAATGTTTTCAATGCACGTAAATGTAATGCTTTTTTATCTGTTACAACATGAGCATTTTCGAGGCTTACAACCGTTTCATAAGCCAATGGTACATAAGCACCTAACTTTTTTACTAACCAGTTTTCACCCGCTACACGATGTTGACCTGTACGATCGATAAATTCTTTTTTAGCACTCAATCTTATTGCTTGATTTGGACCGATCACAGTGGCAACAATATATTCTTCTACGGATACTTCTTTTCGTGGTGTATACGTGCCTATGAAATCCAAATATTTGTACAATTGAAAATAAATCAATCATGACTCGAGTGCATTAATTGCATAACTTATAGCTGGGAATACACCGTCACTTACCAGGTCCTTCGAATAACCATTCATCTCCAGTTTTTCGGTGTTCTCTATTATCATCAAAATCCAAAACAGCTTTTAATCTTAATGCTGAATTAGCTGCAACATATTTTAAAAGTGTAGGAGCCTAAAATAATATCATCATATATTGTTAAAAAATTACTTTTCATAATGCTATTCATAATACCTGTTTTAAAACTTCACCAGGATACAATGGAAATGGTTCTTTATAATCGTTTTCCAGTCGAACATCTAGGCTACCATGCGACAATTTTGCCTGACCATTTTTGTCGAATTGTGCTTGATCATCTTCATTCTTAACGACTGGATTTTCAATAACACAATAATGTCTTGGTGGTAGAGTGATCATTTTATCGGGTCCAAAAACTATTGTTTCATTGTCCTGTCTAAAAAATGTTTTTGGACCAATTTCCAATCGTGTCACACTTGTATTCTGGTCTAATACATGAATATAATAGTAAGGTGGAATACGATAGATAGGATCCATCTGAGTCGGTAAACTCTTCGAAGACATGCTATTGTCGAGTTTTAATACTAGAATAGAACCGAAAAACAAAAACTACCACATATTACTTCATTGTATCGTACTCATTGTTACGCGAAAAATATGACTTTTTCTTCTAGTCATCTATGAAAACGCATTAAAATATACAAACATATATGTTTTGATTGATGAACAATTATCTATTATTAACACTTCATGATAAGGAAAAATGTTAATCGTAATATGTTATCACTAATATCTGTAGAGCATATTTCGAAAAAAGAGAGTAACCCTAAGTGAGTGACACATTCTGTGTACATCTCTGCAAGTTTATCAGTACCCACTCAATGCATACACTCATCGGACTCATGTAAATAACAATAGTGGCCATACAGTGTCAAGAATCGCAGAAAAAGACAGTAAAACTGGTGTCAAATAGAGAAAAAAATATGTATTCTGAGTGTGGATTTGTGAGTGAGCAATAATGCTGCTTTTATGTTAAAAGAAATTGACAAAAATGAGACTGCCCCAATCAACAAAGTAGGATCAGGGTTGCTTGACTGTATGAGTAACCGGTAAAACAATCTCATAAGGTGAGCTTAACAACGACAGCAAAAAAACTAACAATTCTCTTTCACCAATGCTTACTATACGCAAAAAAAAAGTGAAAGCATAATGTGCTTTAATTTGTTTCATGGTCGTCTCTTTATAATTCTTACTGTAAATCATTTTCCAAATCTTGCGCACCATGCTCATTGGTGTTATGAAATAACAGAAAAGCAAAACAATCATTGACACATTTGCTTCAACCAATGAATCAAAGGAAAAAAAAGGTGGCGTGCAGTAAGCGTTGCAAAAATAGATCAAAGTAAGTATCCAAGTCGATGGATACGCCTATGATATCCGTAGAGACATTATACATAGTCTCATGGGTGTCGAATGTTCTACAACACGGATTTTGTTGTACTACGTAATTTAGTTCCAGCAATGATTAAATTTTTGAGAAAGAAAGCACTTTTATGGATTGATTAGGAATATCTAATATTATTTCTACGAATGTTGCAAGTTGTTTAATTCCTTATTAGATAATGACTAGTGATAATAATATACACTGAGTGATCAAGATATTCATTCATCAATGCATAAGCTTATGCGATCACTAGGACACAATATTTGATTGCATTTACAAATGTCTGTAGTAAAAATACAATCAATATAACATTATGATGAAATAAAAATCTATCAATTACTCAAGTATCGATCACCAATTCTGGATAGTCATGATTTCGAACTATTCGACACCTTAACACTTTAGGGTATGCTTAAAACGTATCTACTCTCACACTGTCAAACGATTATCCGTCTCCCTCATTCCTTACAAGTTTAAACTATTGTCTCGGTCAAAATAATATATATATTTTAATTGTACCTTGATAACGTGAAGTTATTGGTGCAATAGCATTTTTATTGTTAGCATAAAATATTAAATATTTAATACAACTTTCGGTTTTTCTCTAGTGAAGAAACTAGTCTTAAACCTTCGAATTTAGTGAATCAAAAGTGAATCTAAAATAGCTGATAAATGTATTCATCACCAGTGTATATAAGAATGGTAATGTCAAAACACAACTCAAAATCAGTTTATTAATTCAAATATTGAAATAAACATGACTGAATCGATTATGATTTAAAAAAAAAGAGAAATAGAAACTATTGAAATGTGTTAACTATGAAATATAATCTTTTTAAATCAGATTTGGCAGTTTATAATTTTCGCATTGAATAGTTAACCAGAAAATTTCATTTTCCAGTATGATTTTTATTTAATTGAAAAGAAAAAGAGAAGCAAAGCCATTGAATTCATATTTGTTCTAGATAGTTATTTCTTCAATAGATAAAATTGTTTATTCAGATGATTTTGATGGTGCATTAGTATGAACCAATTATTGGATCGTATGAAGTTTTTGTTTTTTCTCTTGTTTTTTCCGTCGAATTCTTTCTAATTCTTCACGTGTAGGATCAATACCAAAACAATATTTCAATATATCCATTATGACAACAAACATAGCAACACTTATCATAGCAACAATTCCAAGATAAGCAAATGATGTCGAAACAGCTTTATAAATAACAATTTTCGTAGAAACTCCTTCGCAATGACGACCATAATAACTATTACCAAGACATTCACATGTATAATTCAACAATAATGGTCGACAAACACCATTATGCTCACATGTAATATTATCACAAAAGTTTATCATTAATTCACAGTTAGTTCCTTGCCAACCATCATTGCATATACAATAAAATGTGGTATTTGATGTTTCATTACATGTACCTAAAACAAAATAAGTCTTATGAATTTTTTTTAGATAGTTTAACAATAATCTATTTACCATGATCCAAACAAGTATGTGATTTACAAGGTCGATAATCAAATTCACAATCAGTACTATTAAAACCAGATGGACATGCACAACAATAACCAAGGATTTTACTCTGATCATTTACACATGATCCATTATTTTGACATGGTTTACTCATGGCACATAAACTATTAGAAATATCGCAATAGGTACCAATCATTGTTAAATCGTTACAAGGAGTTGGCTTAAAGGCTTGTAATACTGGTTTAACTAAAGGGTATAGAAAGTAGAATTAAATTCAAAATAAAAATAATAAACTAACTCGTTGATGTTACAGTCAAATCTATCAAATAAATAGCATTTCATTTTGATCAGAAATAAATAAAGAAAAGAAAATTACCGTTTGCACTTTCGATTGAAGTTATTCTTTCGTTTGTCGTCACATCTAAAAGATAGCAGGCATTACGAACTGTTTATAAAAGATTTGAATCGAAATTTTGTTTGTTCATAATTATAATGATGACATCAAATTTTCGTTGGAATTATATAAACTTATCAATCACATCTCAAATTAGATTATACAGAAATTATTCGAGCTTTATTTTGTGCCAAACAGATTTGATATAAATCATACTCAGGTTATGAAATTGTTTACATTGTTATATAATAGACTAATATAATAGAGTATATATGAGTGATTTTATTCTTTAGCAACATGACTTCGCAAAATTAAATTGAAAAGTAGCATACATACTGCAGATGATTCATTAAGCTAAAAAATCTCTATTGAAAGTTTTTTTTTTGTGAGCATGACTGAGTTTTTCAAAGCATCGATTTTATTTATCTTTGACGACATGACTGAGTAAATAATAAATGCCATTGTAACGGAATCAGAGATTAAAAAACTAATTTTGAATTTTAGAAATTTTTTTGGGGATTTTGGAACTTTTAATGCCCAATCTGGCTGAAAATTGCATCATTTCTGCAGTTAGTGATGTAAAATCTATTGTGAAATTTTTGATCTTCTTCATCATAAGGTTAATGAGTTATTCGCTAATTATTTTTTAATTAAATAGATAATTTTAATTAGATATGAGCTGAAAGAACCAACATTTATATATATATTTATGGTAAAAAAATTTGTTCAAAATAAATTCTGTAAGAGAACAGAAGTTGCCGCAGAATTCTTTTATATGATTTGTATCAGCACAATTCTATTCTGATAATCGGTAAATTATTTAATAGCATGCCATGAATGGTATTTAAATGAAACATAAATGACGAGTGACAAATACAATATCATCCGATATTTCTTGTCTATACTGATATTTTACTCAGTTCTTTATAGATAGTATTTAACTTTGATCCTTATGTTCTCGAGAAGTCAAACTAATCTTGTTCTACTTTTCTATGCTTGTAAAGGCGGGGGTCGCATAAGAGATCAAAGTGTCCCACTACTACTTTTCTGGGTCAACTCTCTTCAATTATATATCAACGTCAAGAGTATATTGAGACTAACATTTTGATTAATTCATCCTATCATAGTTAATTCAATTTGAGAATAAATCGACAAGACGTATGAGTTTGATGGGGCTTCAAACTCATATATAAATCACCAATTAATGGTTTGATTTAATGAGATATAAGTTCGATGTACTCGTAGACTCTGCTACTATATTTACTATATTTATCATTTACTCTTATCTTTGAACAAAGATTTTATTTTAAAAATTGAAATGATCAAAACTGTCCTGTTGCTCATGCCATATCCTTTTTTAAAACGCTACAAAATTATATATTATCTAAAATATAAAAAAATTGGTTAATTGAAAAATTCTCTAAGCAAAGAGTTCTCCAGTCTCAATTCTTTGTGTTTTGGATCAATATTTAGAACACTTTAATTAAAAATTAGGTTTTATGCTGATTCAGAATATCATATAAGTTTTGACTCGAGTTGAAATTTTTCTTATCAAAATCTTCTAAATATTGATTAAAAGAATACAAGCACTGTACATGCAAGAATAATTTGCTTAGGAATTTTTTTAGTGACTAAAGTTTGTGTGACTTTGGAAAATATATGATTTTGTAGATTTTCAAATTTGCAAAGAATATCTTTTTTCGACGTAAAATGAATAATTTCTTTTTACTTGATAACTATATCAAAATAATAACTCTTCATAAATACACTAATACAACACCAACCGATAGTTTCTGAAAAACAGTATATATTTATATACACATCAATAACATAGTTTAAGGTAGGATTGTTAAGTTTTATAGCGCAAATAAGCTCACTGTTATGCTTTCGGTTAATATTTGTTCTTTTTCTATAGTTTACATCAAGATTTGTTCTATAGAGTAACAAGAAAATATACAGGCATTAATTTAAAATTTGTTTTTAGTATTGAAACATGAATCCATCATCGAAATATGGAGTTTGAGAATAGTTAATAAGTGAATCGAAAAGTCATGAAATTTCATGATCACAACAATATATGTCAGTTTTAATGAATAATTTTACTAGAAAAGAAGAAACTAACTTTACTAATTGAATTCATAATTGAATTATTACACTAATGGTGATGAAGCATAAAAAGCAATGAGATATGAAAGAAAATTCCGAGAATTTTCTAC